AAAAATGGAATTGGAATTGAAAAGGATCATAGTAATGCATTACGTTATTATCATAAACATTTTGGTATGGGATATCCTAATAATTATGCAGAATGTGCACAATGCGGTCTATATAACGCATCACAAGCATGGTGCAAATCGTGTGATTCTTATTTTTTAAAGACTAAAGAATGCGCAAGCGAAGATGAAAATATCGATAATTATATAAAAGAGTATCAAGCTAAAGCCGTAACATATGAGGATGTGATTGAATGGATTCCATACAATAGATTAATTAATTTACAAGAAATTGAAAAAGAATTAATGGGAATCTGGTTGGACGGAATTCGAACTGTTGAAATTACTTATAAAGGTTACAAACAACTACGTACACAACCTCATATGGTTCATCTCAAGACATTGCATAGTTGTCAAACAAATACTTTGGATTTTATAAATGAGGTAATTTGAGATCGATCATTGTTAATCTTATTATTACACATCACTAACGTCCATAAATTATTCATCTACAAGTTTAATACAATAATTCAATCGAATAAATATAAAGTTTATGGAATAACTTTAAACACAGTAGATAGTAAATACATGGTTGTTTTAGCGGATGGATTCGCTTCTCTAAGAAAAGATGAATTCGTTTCTCTAAGAAAAGACGATTTCGGTAAATGTTCAACTTGCACTAGATATAATACTTCACCAGCGTGGTGTCAGTCGTGTGATCCTTACCTTACAGGTCACGGATGGACAAGTGGAAATAAAGAGATTGATGATTGTATCAGAGAATTTCAACTTAAATCTACTAAATATAATGAGGTGATCGAATGGATTCCATTTGATAGGCTAACTAATTTAATAATGATCGGTGAAGGTGCATTTAGTAAGGTATTTTCTGCAACCTGGTTGGATGGTGTACGAATAATTGAGAATAAAATAGCGTTACGTGAGCGAGATTGTAAAATTGCGCTCAAGACTTTACCAGGTTTCCAAACGGATTCCTCAAAATTTTTACAAGAAGTTAAAATTATTTATTTTTATGCATATTTATTATGACTTAATTAAATAATTTGTTAAAACCTACTTTCAAGTTTAAAAATCACATGTATTGTAGATTAAAGGGTAGCTCTCTTGAAATATATGGATTAACTCAAAATACGGAAACTAAAGAATTTATGATGGTGTTTCAGTATGCAAATAAAGGAAATCTTCATAAATTTTTAAAATCAGAGTTTATAAAACTCAAATGGCAAAAGAAATTATGGCAACTTTGGGATATATCAAAAGATTTGGCCAGAATTCACGAGGCTGATTATATCCATGGTGACTTTCATAGTGGAAATATCTTGCTGCATCAATATATTAGTTATATGAAGTGTTATATTGCAGATTTAGGATTATCCAGGAAAAAAGATGATCATTTTTCGAAAGGAGATATTTATGGAGTTATGCCTTATATCGCCCCAGAAGTATTGCTAGGTGGTGATTATACACAAGCTGCTGATATTTATGGGTTTGGAGTTATTATGGCAGAGATGTCAACTGGAGAAAGACCTTATGATGGATGTCCATTTAATACTGAACTCGCAATAAACATTTGTCATGGACTGCGACCACAATTTGCACCAGAAACTCCTGATTGCTATGTTGAATTAGCAAAACGTTGTATGGATTCTGAGCCAAAAAATCGGCCTACCGCTGAAGATATTAATCGAAAAATTTATGATTGGCAGCAAATTCTAAGAGTTCAAGAATATTCTGTAAATAATGAAGAAAAACTTGAAATACGAGAGAAATTTTTGATTGCAGATGAATTAATTAAATCTTTACCAGTTACATCATCAAGAAATTTAGAGTCTAAATTTGCTAGCAAACTTATCAATACACAAAAGATTAAAACATCATTAACTACGTTAAAAAAACACCCAGATTTTATGTATACTAGCAATCTTATAAACACATTAAAAATTATAGATGCTTACAACAAGTCTATTGAAATCAATAAAGCAGGTGAATTTCAAGTAATAAGTTTTAACTTTTATTAATTGTCGTGGCTGATGCTGATGTTGGGATTTGTGGACTTAATTTGAGTCTATTAAACCTAATAAAATATAAAATCCATATATTCTTTTTTATTAACAATTCTAACCATGAACCTTAACCTAATCCTAAAAAAAAGATTAAAAAAATGTACCCCAAAATTTTTAAAATCCCATATCAAAATAAGATCAATTCTCAGCATCAGCCGATCTCATCTTCAGCCACGATATTAGTTAAAAATAAAATTTGAAAATTAAATTATAATTACATCTAGATTCAAGTCTTCATGATCTTAGTATTTCGCGCATTTTAAGTAAGATTAATTTATCAAATATTATAATTCTGAAATAACTTTAAAGGTTTTGTAAATCATTTATTTATTTACTAATCTATTTACTAACTTTTAATATAAAAAATTATTTAAGGATTACCTAATAATAGCAATGGTATATTGAATTATATATAGTTTATTTAAAAATTGTAAGTTTTAACATACAAATTATTAAAATTTTAAATTTATAGATGACAAAAATCGTACAATTTCTTATAAAAGAACATTAAACATCAACGGTTGGTTAAATTTCTTTAATTATTGTTACTACATATATTTATTAATAAAGATTTTTAACTACTAGATAATTCTGAAGAAAATAATTTATACAAAAAGCTAAAAAGTTCAAACCAATTTTTATAAAGGATTATATAATTGTGATTATAGCAAGTGTGACTATAGTGTTACTATGGGGGTCGACAACAAATCAAATGGATTTTCGATTATGCTCCTCTAATTTTCTTCTAAACGCTAGCCCTATCATTAACAAACTTTGAATGTTTGCTACGCTACAAACCTAGCACACATTTCAGACGTGCATTTTACCATAATAACGCGCAATCTTATTGATTAGTTTTAGGTACATCAAAAGAGTAGGCGTGAGTATATCAAGTATATTAAATTAATATCATACATGGCTTTCTCGTGACAACGGGATTTGAGGCTTAGGGCGTCATTCTATTTTTTTTTATTTGTTTGTTTGTTTATTTTCCAGTTTAGTAAAATTGTGGTTGAAAACTTGTCATTATTAGCATAATGGTTTAAACTACAATCGTTAAAGTTATCTCGACACAATTTGTTTATAAGCCGGATACAATAGAAAAGCATGCATTTATAGATTGTGGTAGAATTCAAAAAAGAAAATTGTAACAATGAAAATGATTAGTAATCATTGTTATAATTTCCATTTTTGAATTCTATCTATACATGCATTAAAAGAAGGAAAGGATAAAGCACAGTATGTGAAGGAAAAATATATTTGATTGATTTTTTTGCGTTAATAAAGTTTTACAGATTTCAATGTCTTAATTTAAAATATGTTAGGAATCGATTTCTCAAGTGATTGGTTTATAAAATTCCAAGTTTATTATTCTATGCAGAAATGTTTTTCTCTATAATGTTTTTTACTGTGCTCTTACTACATTTTATATCGATACCAGTAAACGTCGAGTAAGTTGATTGAAAAAAATGCAGTTCAAAAAGTTCACGGTAATTTTGACAGTATCGTGCTTGAAGTTAAAGTTGTAACTTCAAGCGCTTGAAGTTTAACCTGCCTAAACTTGCTAATTAATGCATCTAATTTCAAGGACTAATTTAAATCAGGCTTAACTTCAAGCAAATGCCAACTTCAAGTACGATAATTTTTTTTTGTCACCAGTATATAATAATATAATTTAAAATTTACTAATAAAACTATGAGGGTTCTAATAAAAAAATTTCCGTAATTTTAAGTATAGATCCTATCTTATTATAGTTCTAGTTCTTAATCTTACTCCAAATATTAAAAAAGTTTAATTTTTATTGTAGATTACTGCATCACCAATGGTAAAACGAAAGAATTTTAATATACATATATACTATATAGTTTAATTGTCAGTTTGTGTAGATTTATCAATTTTTTGAATTTCTTGAATATTAATTTGAGTTGTTAAATTTAGTTCCTTTGGATCTAGATGAAGAAGTTCTAGCAGGTGAGTCTGAATATTTGGCTTATATCGGCTATCTTCATAAGTGGTATTAAGATTATATATCTTATTTTTTAATCTATTAACATGTGCATAATAACAACTATAAATTAACAAAAGTATTAAAAATTAGCTTTAAACATATAAGTATTGTGCAAAACATGAAAGAATATTCAACTTACATGCGATCTGGAAACCAGGATTTCCATCTTCTTTGATGAGGAAGTAAATAAAATATTTCAATTTCAGCAATCAACTATTTAAAAATTAAAAAAAATTAACAGGTTATAAAGATTAATATAGAAACATAGATTAAAATAGAATAATAGAAATAAATATAATATATACATACTTCGGCTCTTAAAAGTAGGAATAAAACTCTAGAATTGTTGCCCGCAATGGCAATATTTAATAAGCCAATAAAAAGATTTAAAAGATAAATAACCGTAAAGAATGAAAATGTTATCCATAAAATAACAAGTGCTATATTATTGCGGTATTCCCAGGATGATAACGAACTGGTATCGCCTAATAGTTTAACAAAAAAGTTAATAATAATAAAAAGTTGTATTAAGTAAAAGCTTTAATAATAATACCTGTCATTAATTTATATACGGCTAATAGTGAAGTTTCAAAATATTCATATAAATTGATATTTAAATTCGGATGTAAAATAAACGATGGACTCTCAATTACACTTCCATTACGAACAGAATCATAGGCAAATACAAGATTCCATGGGTTATTTAAGTCATCATCAAAAATTGGATTTTTAAGGTCGAATCTTCTAGCCGGACGCAAAAGTATAAAAAATGCATGTGCATATGAAAATACAATAAATGCTAGAATTACTAAAAAGGAAAATATGCTTTTTGCAACACCTATTATGATTGCAAAATGAACACCAAAATTCAAATATTCAAATGCTCTAAAGAATAATAGAAATTTTAGATCTAAAAATAAGCATGAAGTAGCTAATAACCAAGCTGGAATCGGGATATTTGTAAACCAAAAGAAAGATGTTATAAGTGGAAATAAATATGCTCCAAGATCTATCAAAAAAAGATTCATTATTTAATCAGAAACTATATTATGAAAATAAAAACATTTGGTATATTAACAGAATTTAGAAAAAATTTTTTAAACTCTAACCATAGATACTTGACTACTACTCAATCTATTTTTATAACTTTTTTTTAAATTTTACATGTTTGTAAAACTAAAATGTCTAATATTATTAAGTATCTATGCTTATGATTTGAGTAAAAGTTTTTCTAGATTCTGTAAAATATATTCATATTTACCAAACCAATTCCAAGTACTAATGATGTAACTTTTCCAATCCCAGATAAATTGGCGGATTTCAATTGTTAGCTGAAGAAACCCAAGAATAACAGAATATAATAATAGGATTTTTTGATTTTCTAAAGAGATATAATTATTGGGTTTACTTGTTGCAAGGGTAAAGGTTAAAAGAAAGGTGGTATACATCATCCAAATTACATAATAGTAATATTTTCCAAATTGATTCCACTTGAAGTTCAAAAGTGCTTCTCCATTCCAATCAGAGTAAATAATGAGTAATTTAGTCGTGTTTACAAATTCATTTGGAGCAGGTTTTAATAATTCGTAGAAGAAATTATATTTCGTGGGATAAGTTGCAAATTTGGGTAAAGGAACGAGTAGTTTAATTGCTGGATAAAAAATCTTCCTTTCCTCTAATCTATTTACCATTGAATTCCAGAAGGTGATAACCAATACAACACATACAATTGGCCCAGTGAAGAGTAATGTTCCAACTATACCAAAAAATTTGAATGTATCTATTCGAACTCCAGAAAGAGTTGCAGCAAGAATTCCAACATATAACACAAACATTAACCCAATAATAACGATGACAATCACATGTAAGTAATTACGAATACATCTGTAAGTATTTTTAAGTAATCTGAAGACACATAATTCAGGTAATTCATCTGTAGAGCCATCAAGATGTGAATAAGGGACATAATTAATTGGTTCATCCGCATTACTAAATATACAAGTACAAACAAAGAATTGCGTAACATAATAAGGATATAATTTTTGAAGTTCTGAAATTGAACTTGTAATAGCACATAATACGTCGAATCGACTATTATCTTCATTATAGTAGCTTATACATTTATCAATAATTAGCCCGATTATTTCATTGTCATGCTTTCTATATCTTCTTTTTTCATCATTAGACTTCAAAATTGATTTCACAATATTTGATGAATATTGGGAAAATGTATAAAAATCATTAATATACGTGGTTATCATCTTTCCTAAATGCTGCGCAATTATTGGATCCGACGCTTCATCAATAAAATCTAATACATGTTTAAAATAACAAGCATCCCATAAATGTTCTGGTGTAAAAGTACCTTTGGGCGTTTTTATCACACCATTCTGCTCATGAGAACTATATTGTTTAAGTCTTCGTTGAAATTTAGGGTGTTGTTGAAGAATATTCTCAAATAAAGCTACCCCAGCATAATAGATAATTTGTATTTCATTTTCAATGAGAGTAAAAATTGCAATGCACTTTGTTGAAATCACAATTAAATCATCATTGGGTAGTAAATAAGATCCTAAATAATTGCCATTGAAACTGACTGGTGCACAGTTATTTTTAGATACTAATATCTTATGACAATT